AAAAAAAAAAAAAAGTATTAATCTAATCTGTTGGTTTTTTAATTAGTTTATTCTCCTATTTTAAATTTCCAGATAAACATTAAAGGCATTATGGCACCCCTCACCCCTGCCAAAAAAAAAAAAAGAGGTATAAACACAGGTACAGTGGGCCAGGCACAGTGGATCACACCTGTAATTTCAACACTTTGGGAGGCTTACATGGGAGGATTGCTTGAGGCCAGGAGTTCAAACCAGCCTGGGCAACACGGCAAGACTCCATGTCTATAAAAAAATTTTTTTAGCCGGGCACGGTGGCTCACGCCTGTAATCCCAGCACTTTGGGAGGCCGAGGCGGGTGGATCATGAGGTCAAAAGATCGAGACCATCCTGGTCAACACGGTGAAACCCTGCCTCTACTAAAACTACAAAAAATTAGCTGGGCATGGTGGCGCGTGCCTGTAATCCCAGCTACTGAGGAGGCTGAGGCAGGAGAATTGCCTGAACCCAGGAGGCAGAGGTTGCGGTGAGCCGAGATCGCGCCATTGCACTCCAGGCTGGGTAACAAGGGCGAAACTCCGTCTCAAAAAAAAAAAAATTTTTTTTTAAGTAGCCATGTGTGGCGTCATGTGCATGTAGTCCTGGCTACTTGGAAAGCTAAGGAGAGAGGAGGATTAACTGATCCCAAGAGTTCAAGCTCTGATTGTGCCACTGCACTTTAGCACTTCAGCCTAGGCAACAGAGTAAGTCCTGTCCCAAAAAAAGCAGCAGCATAGAAGGAAATAAGCTATACTAAGTGAGATTCAACAGGAAAAAAAGATTCAAACACTCAAAGGCATCAAAAATTGAAATTACCAAATGCAAAATGTAAAATATCCATTATGAAATGTTTAAAGACATAAAATAATTGGAAGAATTAAAAACATTTTCACACGAAAAATGTTTATACTAATATTCATAGCACCATTATTCATAGTAGCCAATAAACAGAAACAACTGATAAAAGAACAAGCAAAATGTGGTATTATCAATACAATGAAAGAACACTGGGCCATAAAAAGGAATAAAGTTCTGATATATGCTTCAACATCAATGAGCCTTGAACATTATGCTCAGTGAAAGAAGCCAGACACAGAAGGCCACATATTGCTTGATTCTATTTATATAAAATATCCAGAACAGATAAATTCATAGAGACAGAAGTAGATTAATGGCTGTTAGCAGCCGGGCGCGGTGGCTCAAGCCTGTGATCCCAGCACTTTGGGAGGCCGAGGCGGGTGGATCACGAGGTCA